GTGATGTGAAGTGGGCGGGCTTTAGTATTGGACCAAAACGGAGGCAAAAGGCCTCAACTCCCACAATTCAGTCACAACTCTGTTACACACCATTGTTCCACCTCAGATCACCCTGTACCCGATCACCCGATCCCTTCTAGGGATCCCCATTGTTCCAGCGATCGTCGTCATTTTTGCTCAAACCTGATTGGCAGTATGGCGTTGAGGCCAGCCAATTGGACGGTGTGCCTGATTCCGGGCATGGAATCCTGCTAATTTAAGCCAATGTAGTTCAATTTCTAATTCATGTGATAAACACTCTCAATATTGTTTTGTTTATACGTACTCTGGGATGGTCTTGTTCGATCCTGCCGGCTAACCCCGTCACATGATTTCACAACGGACGTCCATATGAGTTCCGCTGACAATCTCTGACACATAGAGTCACCAATGATCCTTGCCTCGCACTTTCGACCGAGGGTTATGGCAGTGACCGTTGAAGCTTGGCCCGAATGGTGGCGACCACGGCTCGCGGGTGATGGTCGGCAAAGCAATTGGGTTAGGCAACACGGCGTTCTCACTGGCTGTCACACTCGGACCTCTTGACCCCGCATTCGCTGGTGGTGAAGATGGCGTATGGCCATGATTACAGACTATATAGGGGTCAGAGGGATATAGAAAGATATTGCAATTGACGAGCACAGTGTAATAGGCATCTCGAAGAGTAATCAACTCGTATTAAAAGGTTACGCAGACACGAGTGGGATTTGAACCCACGCACGGAAACCGTATCAAGATCCACATGTCATGGTAGCAACCTGACGCCTCAACCGCTCGGCCATCGTGTCATTGACGTTGCCGTTTTAGGTAGGTGCTACTCTGGGACGGTGGTCGGCTGGAAATGTATTCCGATCCTCGGAGCGTATTACTATCATTACAAGAGTACAGGACGAGCTCCAAACCCTCTAAAGGCGACGATCGAAGCGGAGAAGGGTTTTAACTTCGGTCAACAATGGTTCGAGATTAGATCTGGGGTCCCACTTGACCGCTTGTAGTTTCGGCCACCATTTCCGGAACGTCGTTGCAAGCCAGTCCGACCCCACGTCCGCGGACGACACCGTCAGCTCCAATTCCTCTAACGCCTCGTTCGGAGATACTCTTGGGAGCTCACAGCATTGTGGTGCTCTGACTAGCCTCACGTATAAGCAGAGCTTCCGAAGGCATCGGAACTTGGCTGCGATACACTCCAGATGGCCAATATCCAGGGCAATTTTTCCTCCTTCATAGCTCCAAGGCCGTCGTTTGAGATCCAGAACCTGAAGACATGGCCAGGCTTTGGCCATCCACTCCAATTCTGTCTCAGTCAGAGGATTACTCCCATAAGACATCGACCTATCGGGCTCCGAGACACGGAAGAGAGTGAGCGCTTTGCACCCCGCCGCGTTCCGAACCGTCGACCATGGGATCATATCAGTATCCAACGCGACATCCAAGGTCTTCAATCCGTAAAATCTTCCAATTGAGCTGAAGAGATCCAGGTACTTGTGGTGGTCTACTTGGTGTCCCACGAGTAGAATCTCGACACTACGCGTCTCTGGAGACCCTAGTTTTAGGACCGCATTGATGAAGCTTAGGGGACCGGTCAGTGTCAGATTTTCCACCATCTTGAAACGTTCCCTTTGGATGCTATTCCCGCTGAGATGTTGTGCCACGGACGCCCCGTGAAGGTTGATAAGTGAGAGGTGACGAAGGGCGGGGGCTGCGCGGCTGATCCAATGACATTCAGGACGGTATCCCCATTATCGACTGTGATATCGAGAGTTCGAACTGTGTTGTGAGACTTTAAGACTTGAGATATCATTGGACCGAGATTCGGATCGTCCCCGAAGGTGTAGAAAGCGTGAAGGATGCCAGTTTCACCCCTCCGGCGGACTCCGACTTAGCGAGCTCGGCGAGGAAAGATTTAACGAAATCTCCGGAGTTGTATTTCACGTGAGTCGTAATTTCTGAGGCACGTGAGGTAAGGATGGTGCAGAGCAGCCGCAGAACCGAGTGTTGAGTCCTTGGGAAAATGTGTACTGTGATACTCTTGACGGCGGGGAAGATCGGAACCGTCTGCAGGCTTAAGAGGAGTTGCAGTAGGAAGGAGTCGTTGTCGTGTGATCCGCCAACAATCATTTCTAATTGAGCGGTATGCTTCGTATGCAACAGCGCCCTTGTCCAGTCAGTTTCGCGGAGCGCCCGACTTAGACGGAAATACTGGCACGATTGCAAATGAAAATGTAAGCCAGGTGGTCATTAGGAGCTGAGACCAGATACCTCACCTCTTTGCCACGATCTGTGTGCTTTGTTACAGTTCCATCAGGTAGCAAGGTTGTAACAAGGTGGAAGCTGGGGACCTCCCTCCAAATCACGGGAATCGCGTTCAGCCAGAAGGTCCGACAAACCCGGGCGATGCTATTCCGATCGTCGTCACCGAGCAGGTAAAAGACTTGCTGCACGAGCTCCGGAATGGTCCACAGGACATGCATCGTTGCAATGGAGGCGGTGGTTGAGCGACTTGACTTAATTGGATTGCCACGTTGGTCACGTGTCCTAATCTACGGCATGAGAACCTCGGCGAGAGATAGGGTTTAGTCTCGACGAAGAGAACCGACCTGTCGAAGCTTCATCTCTCTCTGAGCTCAGGTCGTCAGCCCCAGCGGCTCGAAGTACAAATAGCTTCGGTCGAACTTGTCCTCGGCTGTCGATGTGGGAAGGTGACCAAGAATTACGTAATCTCCCATTGACAACCACCGATCACACTATCATCCTTGTCGAAGAACAGGCTGTAACAGAGACACGTACATCAATTAGATAGAGACGGCAGAGAATATGCATTCTTCGTATTACACTACTAGTCAACTACGAGGTGCTCATTGACTCTTTTCCATAACGTGCTTTCGTACGAATCAGGATCATACGCCTTGACTGTCCGAATTTGCGGCCACCCGGCCCGGATCAAGTTTGCAAGCCGTTCCGAACTCCAGCCCACCTCCGACGAACGTATCACCAATTCCTCCAACGAGTTGTTCACAACGACACTTCGACGTTTTTCAACGGAGGTAATCCTTTCGGTACTATGTAAATCTGAGGCTCGCCGAGAGCGTTCGCAGATTTCGGAATGTCGACGCTATGACTTGGAGTTGCTCGATATCAAGGGCGGCTTCTCCCAGGTCCACGACTTTGAGGAGAGGCCAGACCTTAGACATTTCCCTGAGCTCCGCCTCCGATAGCCTCCGAACATCAGGCTTCCACTGTTCCGGGCAAGAAGCGCGGAACGTCTCCAACGCATTGCATTTCATTGCAGGACCAACGCATTCCCAAGGTATATCGCGAGCTGAATCAATCTGCAAGATTTGAAGTTTACGGAATGTACCAATGGACGTGAAGCAGTTGACGGAGCGGTCTCTGCTCGGGGAAATGGCGGCCACTGAAAGCCTGACGCTTTCCAACTCCTCCGGACTACCGAGACGTAGAATCGCAGCAAGGAATGCAATTTCGCCGCTGATGTCCAGTGTTTGAACCGATTTAAGTAGCCCTCGTGGAAGCGTGCGGACCTTGGGCTCATCTGTTAAGCCCTGGAGCGACTCGTTGCAGGCAAGTGTTAAGTGACGGAGCGCCGGGTGGGCACCCGCTGATTGCATGATGTTACAATAAGGAATGGGCTTCCAGAGTTCAATGCAGAGGGTTTTAATAGCTGTCTGGGCTGATATCGTCTTCGCGAGGAGTGAAGCGAACATCCCTGCTCCCGCATTCGAGCGAATCCTGATTGCCAATGAAGTCAGCTCAGATCCGCAGTGTCCATCTTGGCGATTTCGGCGAGAACCGATTTGCCAAATTCACCATGGCCCTCAATAGTAAGGCTGGAGAGATGAGGTGGGAGGAAGACTTTGCGAAACTCTGGAATGGGTAGGCTGCCTCCTATCAAGTAAATGATGATGGTCTTCAAGGCGGGAAAGATCGGTGTTAAGGGTAGATTCGAAAGTAGGCCAAGTTCCGTGGCTCTGGTAGGTCCACCGACTAGGACCTCTGCGCATGTTGTATGCTCTGAATGAAGGAGCGCCCTTGCCCAGTCGAGGTCGTGGAGTTGCCGCTTTGGGTAGGATACCTGAAGGTAAGAGGAGGTTGAGGAGCCATATCAGCTAGTTCGAGTGAGTAGAAACGAGCCTCTATGTCTCCACGCATGTGCGAAGCTAACGCTTCATTGGGCAGCAAGTGCACTAGTTGGCCAAAGAAAATCTCTCTCCACCAGCAGGGTATAGCATGCAGCCAGCACGTCTGGCAGACCAGGGCCACATTTTTTAGATCCTCGCCACTAAGAAAATAAAGGATCAGTTGGACGAGCTCTGGAATAGTCCAGAGGTCGTGCATTGTGGTGGTTGGCGGCTTGACTCGATTGGAGCGTTACACTTTCGCTGCCATCATTGGTCACGTGTTCCAGAAGCAATCGACCGCTGGCTGACTGCACTGAAACTGAACGAATTATATTCGAGCCACCGGAAAAGGTACATGAGAGCTGTGAATATATTGCCACTAACGATATCCGTCATAGATATGCAGATGACCCCTCACTGTCTAGGGTGAACTCCATGCAGGCAGCCAATGAGCTTCTCAAGTTCCCCAACGCTAGGACTGATGCCGAAGGCCATCGTTTACTTTAACCCAGACCCATGAGTATCCCGAGCGGTCGTCTGCTCCCAACGCTCGCAACTTTGGGCAACACGTCCGTAGTAGGGCTGCAATTAGGTCGATTTGGGCGAGACCGATCGCGGATCCGCCGACGTCCAGTTGCTCCAACGTCTCGTTTAATTGGGTGGATGTAGTCAAATTTTGCAAATTGAAATCCAAGTTTCCACTCCTGGTTGCATCTATCCATACGGAAAGATGCCGGATGCTTTGGAATTTAGAAGCAATGGCGACTAGGTGATGGAGGCGGAGTGGTTGGGCTCTGCGGTGGTAAGAGTTGCTGAATGGGGTGCTGAGGGTCAACGTTTTAAGGCATGGCCAGGACTCGGACAGTATATCCAGGGCATATTCATTGACATCAAGAGACGCTTCGTCGGTCGCGATAGTGGTGAAGATCTGAAGCTGGTGGCAGGCGCTCAGAGCCGTTGCGATTTCACTCCACGATACGGGCCTCGGGAGCGTCATCTCCAAGACTCTGAGACGGGTAAACCGAGAGAAAGAGCAGATGCATTCAGTAGTCTGAATGCTACTTTCATTCTCATCCCACTTTAAGGCCACTCTCACTTCCTCGACATTGATTAGAGTTGAAAGGCCTAGGATGAGGTTGACGCAGGCCAAGTTTTCGCCCAGTTTGAAAATTCTGGCTTTAGTGAGTTGACTCTTCTGAAGTGATAGAACGATCCTTTCTTGCTCGTTGATGGACCTTTTCCCGGGTATGACGAATGACACGTCACGAAGTTCGGGAAGCTGTCCTGCGGCTTCAAGGATCTCCATAAATTTAGTTCGAGTTCCAATGTGGACATGTAGTTCTTTGATAGTCTTGTGAGCTTGTATAATCTTTGCAACCGCCTGATCGCACTCCTCGCACTCATGTTGTTCATAAGGCGTGTGGATCGAGAATGACTGGAGGTTCGGAAGGTTGATCCCGCCGAGGAGTGCTGTAGTAAATGCTTGGCCCCAGCATTGCTGCAGCAGTTGAAATTTGAGGGTAAGGCTCATAACGGTGGGAGGCAAAAGCATCGTGAAAATGTCCCGTTGAGGAAGAGTTTCTAATGGGCGAGGAAGGAATATAGTGACGCAAGTCAACTGTGGGAAGACGGGGCTTGGCGGGAGCTCCTTC